TATGCCATTTCCCCCTCTGACCAGCTCATCTGGGGAGGGGCTGGGGAAGAGAAGGGCTCTCCTGACCACACATGGTAGCTGGCAACCATAAGCAGAGGTGGCCAAGCAGGGGAGGGGATGGCTGACCTGAGAGCAGACCTCACTGTGCACTCCAGAGGACCCACATGGCCCCAACTGGGTGGATGGGGAATCATGTGCAGCGGCAGTCACTGCCAGGTGGCAGGCAGCCAGGCCAGCAGGGCTGTCGTGTCAGGGAAAGGAAGCAGCCAGGCAGGCAATGAGCCAGGACCTGCTCCCCCTCAGCAGCCTCCAGACTGAAGCTCCTTTCCTGTCTCCTCATTTCTTGGGTTCCTGCTTTACCTCCTTAGTGGGATACGGGTCTGGCCCGTAGTAGTTGGAAGCTTCCTCCCAACATTTCCCACGCCTCCAGCCCATTACTCTCTCCCAAGGGAAAGTTTCCATACCACAGTCCAGGCAGAGACACCCGGTTGGGTGGAAGGCTGGGAAAACAATTTCAGCACACAGTTCAAAAGGCTGAACTCATGACCATAACTAAGGCCTAACAAGGGATTCCAGGGGGTTAATCATTTGTCTGTCTTCATAACCAACCAAGCAAGGGGTCAACTAGCCTCTTAGGGGACATGGCCTTCAGGACCTGGCATCCTTATTGGTGAGCTGAATAAGGTCAGAAAGAATCCAAAAGGACAAAGAAAGCTATCTTACTGCATTTGCAGAGAATGAGGGTATTGAGCAAGGAGCAATGACCTTATACAGAATGTGCCCACATCCCAAGGAGACAGCTGACATTCCTTGTCCTCAGCTGGTTTTCCTGTCTCAAATGCAGCACACCCAACCCAAGATGTCAGCCTCTCCACGGGCAGACTGCTACCTCAGGTGAACATTAATTCCAGACAGGGGCCGCCAAAAGATTACTGCAGCTAAATGCTGACCACTCTCCAGACAGCGATGCTAAAATAACATGGTTTCTGCCTTGTGGTTACTGCTTTTTTACCTGGAAAGGGAAGCCTGAGTTGAAAAAAGAGGAAGAAGCTTCTTAGCATGTGCAAGACACTGGGTTCAATGTGCAACACCACAAAACAACAACAGAGGGTAACGGAATCACTGTACTACCCCATGGTTAGCACTGATCTGAAATTCCTTCCAGTCTCAGTGGTCAAGAACAGCACACTGTCCTTGGGATTAGGTATTTCCTGTCCATTGATTGGGTTAGGGCCACTGTTTCTAGCCTGAAGGCCTCCACTGTCATAAATTCCAAACCTCCAACACCATAACCACTCAACTCCTCTTTACAAAATGAGAATCAATGTAATGCAGAAGCAGATCCCAAATGCCCTCAAAGTTAAACTATCAACCTTCACATAAAAAACCACAAAAGGTAAAAATTATGCAAGCAATGACTCATTTACATTTTATATTTTACTGATTTCAGTGTTTTCCTGATACACAGGAATCCCTTCTGTCATTTTATTTTTTTCTGTCCTCTGCTTCACAGTGTACCACCACCAATATGCATACATCAGCTTTCTGTTTCTTTTGTTTCCTTACATAGCAAGAGAAATCATGGGCAGTCCTAAGAAGAATCATCTCCAGGAAGCTTCTTTGACTCAAGGTTTAGTATCGTGAATGGGCTCATAGACCTTGAAAATTTCTTAATTTAAATTCGCTTCATGGAGAAGAAACTGAAGCTGAGAAAGAAAAAATACTCAGAGAACAAAAGCTAGGTTGCTAACAGAGGTGTGGCCAGAATCTCATTTTCTAAAGACCTCTCCAATGACCTTTGCATGTCTTCAATGTAAAATGCCACTTCAAAACCAGATGGCCAAATAAATCTCAGCCAAACAGGTGTCTTATACTCTCTCTCTCCCTCTCTCTTCATCAAGGTTTTCTAGGGAAACAGAACCTATAGCATGTATATAGATTTAGAAATGTATATATATTTAGACAGATGCAGTTCTTAACAAAAGGCCATCTTCCAGAGAATCCCTCCTTGCTAGGGAGAATCAGAGTTTTAGTCCTACTCAGTGTTTTGCTCCTTTTGAGGCTTTCAGCTGATCAGATGAGGCCCATCCACATTATGAAGGGCAACCTGCTTCACTCTAAGCCCACTGATTTAAATGTCAACCTCAGGGCTGAGGATTTAGCTCAGCGGCATAAGCACCTGCCTTGCAAGCAGGCAGTCATGAGTTCGATCCCCGGTACCGATAAAAATGAAAAAGACAAAAATAAATAAATAAATAAATGTCAACCTCATCCAGAACACCTTCACAGAAACACCCAGAAAAATGTCTGATCACATATCTTAGCATCCTGTAACTCAGCCAACGTGATACAAAATTAACCATCACATACACCCTAACTAAAATCACAGTCTACAATCATCCACTCATACTTCAAACTTTACCCATAAAATCAATCATGCATTCATAAACAGTCCGAAGTTGCTGAGGAGGACAGCAAGGAAGAATCAAGATTAGTCTTATTTAAAGACCTGTGCAGACACATGCACATGTACACAGCAAAAAGAGATGCACTTTAATAATCTATTTCACTGAAAGAAGACAAAAAGTCTTAGAATGCTAAAGGGTTTTATCCATGAGCATTATTAGCAAACAGCCTTGTTCTGAGAACGATGCTGGAATCCTGTGTTAAGGGTGCCAGATGGGGCCAGGTGACCTTAGGAAGCCTTCCAGACCCAGATGATATTGTGTTCTTGTTTCCACTGGAATAAACAGTCCTTCAAAGAATGTTCCTTATAGCAAATAAGGAGTGAGAAGGGTTGGGACCAAAGCGTTGGAGGCATACATTCCCAGCTTCCCATTGCAGATTCAATAGGAAAAACTGCCCTTCCAATTCTCTTCCCAAAATAACTGGTGTTACTGATGAGGAGTGGCTGGCGAGTTCCGGTTGGCCAGGGTGCATTTCAGTACTGGGTTAAGTGACACCATGACAAGTAATCTGCCAAGATATCTTCCAACAAGGAGAGTAAGAAGAAAGCATAAAGAAGTTACCTGATGCCTGGATTTTCCTGGCTAATCAAATTTTAAACTCCATAGCTAGATTGTTTTCAGCATAAAATAAACATTTATGTACCATTAATACTTTTTTAAAATTTAACATATTTGTCTTACTCAATTCCTTAAAAATAACAGATCATAAGCAAAACCCATAGGAGATTATACAAGACACATGTTCCAGCGTCTTCCATATGACAATAGCTGGGCATGGGGTGCATGCTTCTAATTCCAGCACTCAGGGCTGAGGCAAGAGGATTGCCGTGAGTTCAAGGGTAGCGTGTGCTACACAGCGACTTCAAGCTGAGCCTTAACATACATGGCCCTGTCTCAGAAAAACAAAAACAAAATAAAAAACAAACAACACAATGACCAAAATTGTAAGAAGAGAGGATTATGGCCCAAAAACCTAAGTGATGTATTAACCAACCTCAAGGCATAGACCTTATGTGAATCCCAACATTTGATATTAAACAATTGTTAATTTGTAAGCTGTTGATATTGAAGTTAAGTTTATAAAATATTTTTATATCTTTAATGTATGAAACATGTACAATTGAAGTCATAGGTTTGGAGTTTGTTTCAACCTAATTCCAAGGCAAAGACATAGATATGCAGATGAGATTAGATTAACTTTATATTGACCACTGTTAAAACTGGATGGTGGGACATGGAAGTTACCATACTGTACTATTTTATCCACTTTTTTATTTGCTAGACAACTTTCTAATAGAAAGCTTTAAAATGAAAAACCAATTGTATTTTTTCTGAAATTAAAGGTTAATTATATTTCATTTAAATTCTGAGAACATAATAAAATATCAGTGATTTCCATAAAAGGAATAGCCTGCTTTCATAAATCATATCAAACTAAAAGTGATTAGTATGCTCAGTAATGAATAGAGCACATGGCATTACAGAGACAGGCAGTGAAATAAAGAGATTAGAGGAAAGAAATTTGAGCCATGTTCTATGATATATGTCTATAACCACAGCATTTAGGAGGTTGAGGCAGGAGAATCATTGAGTTTAAGGGCAGCCTGAATGACACAGCAAGTTGAAGGCCAGCCTGGGGTATATAGTGAGAGCTTGCTTTAAGAGAGAGAGAGAGAGAGACAGACAGACAGACAGACAGACAGGGACAGAGAGAGAGTGAGTTGTTGCCCTGGGTATGTTTTCCCCCTCCTTTTCCATAATATAGGAATAGCATTTGTGTCCAAAATAGAATCCTGTTTCCATGCTCCTCTACTTTTACATTTTCAAAAAGCACACACACACAAAAAAAATGCTGTCAGCTAGTGCTTGTTTATTTCCAACTTTAAATGAGAAGTCTGCATTCAAAACAAAGGGAAACAAATCTGTTAGCAGTCCAAATTGTGACAGTTCAATTAGGGAAATGCTTAAAGCCCAGGACAAACTACAGAAATGATTCAAGTGTTCAACATATTAACTCTATCAGCAACTGGTCATTCCCAGAATGATCTTCTAAGGGAGAAGAGAAATGTAAGAGTGTGTATAGATTAAAAAGCAGGGGGTATATAATAGCAATTTGTGACAATGGTATCTCCATGAAATGAATCCTACCATGAACAGAATTACTTTACTACTTGAAAGCTTTTTGTTTGTTGTTTGTTTGTTTGCTGAAATACTAGGTATCTAATATAGGGACATTCTACAACACCCCGAACCTTTTTATCTTTTGAGACAGAGTCTTACTAAATTGCCTAGGCTGGGCTCAAATTTGCCATCCTAGTGCTTTAGCCTCCCAAAGTGGGGGGATTACAAGCATGCACCACCACGCCCCACTAATTAAGAATTTTTCTATGCAGATAGAAACTTGGAGGATGTCAAAATTACTCATACCACAATATGAGAACAGCTAAAAGATTTGTTCCCCCTTTACTTTAGAAACAAAATTTCATGGATGATTTTCAGTGGTGCAGAGAACTCATCACAGGAAAAGCTTACCTCCAGCAAACGAAGCCTCTGAAGGACGAGTTTGAGTCCTGGGCTCATTCACGACTGGGAAAGTGTAGTTTTTAGGTCATTCTTGAGGGTCAGTCTGTTCAGGTTCCTTTTGTCTGTCCCTCCTAGGTCCAGTTCCTAGCATGTTCTGAAGAAATCAACAGTAGTGCCCAAAGTTGTAAACAAAACAGTGGTACTTTTCCTGGTCATGGGCTCTCAGGCTGAGTTCTGAGTCTTTGAAGTCCAAGAACTCCCTCAACCTCACACAAATGTGTCACTAAACACTCTTGGATGAGAAGGCCCTCAGGTTTTCTTTCAACTCTGAAAGAATCCACAGAACAGAAACAAAATAAACAAAACCCCTTGTTTTAAACCACTGCTTGTGATACATTCTTTATCACTAAAATATTTCAAAATGATCTACATCATTCTGTGGGAGAAGAGGAGCAGAGCAAATTTTACCATAATATGCCTTAAGATTTTTGTTGGGCTTGGAGAAAGGAAAAAGTAATGGCAGTAAACCCCAAAACAGGCATTAACACAGACAACAATTTCAGGAAATTTCAAACAGAGGACCAAGGATGAGAGACTTAGCAAATGGAACTGCCTGATCCAGTCGATGACTTCACCTGGCACCCCATTTTGCAAGTAAGGCAATGGAGATCCACAAAGATTACGTGAATTACCCATAAACACACCAGCTAAGAGCAGATTTGAGCCTAAATCACTGTCCTCTCACCTTGTTGTTCATCCTTTGACACTGAACCCAACATAACCTATGGTGATTGGCTAATTCACACTGGCCATGCGCACCTCTCAGAATCGTTAATGCACCTGTTTTTCACTCCTTAACCATTTGTGTGTCGGGAAAGTGCACTGAGAGAGAAGTAAATTGCTCTTTAGGACTCTAATACACTGTTTCTCTGGTTTATATCTGATTTCTAAGTTCGACCCTGGATTTGTAGCTCCTATCAGCTGCTTATTTGGGCAGTGAGTCAAATCACATTAATCAAGCTATAACCTACTCAGCACACAACAGGCTTTGTTAGTTAATCCTCTTCTCAAAAGAAAAAGAATTAAAAATCTGGCCAGAATCACCAACTCATTCCTAACAAATCCTCAAAGTGTTAGCAAAGTCATCCTGCCTTCAAATAATCTCATGGGAATACCTGGAGTAAAGAAGGAAGTTACGCAAAACTCAGCAAAGCTAAGGAGACCCAGTTTACAATTAACAGCAAGTTAAGAAAGTCAGTCTCGGGATTAAGGGCTCTCAACTCATCCAACAGAACTTATTGGAATAAACACTGTTCTCACATTCATGTTCTTCTTCCATGACAAGTTTGCTTCTGCTTCAATAGGTTTGAAGAGAACAGGTCAGATGGCAGAGGCAGGCAACTAGAAATTTGCTAAAGAGTAGATATCCAGGGGTGATGAGACCATCTCATCACTTCTGACTGAAAAGTTTGTTAAAGGACCCCTTACTATCCAGATTAGAATAATGAGAACAAAAGAAGGTAAGTGCTTGGTTTGGAACTGACAAAAACAGTGAGTTGGTGAACGGGGACTATCGTTCAGGTTACCGGGTCCTTTTATGTACAATCTCCCATTCCTCAGATTCTCTCCCAACCCTCTCAGTCTTATTTATGCATTTGGTGCCCTGACTTTAGGAACAGTATTTCTCAGCTACTCTCTTCCTTCTTCCTATCTCTTTTGTTCTCTTTCAGGTCCCTGCTAATTTTTTTCTACTGTGATTCTAATGACTTTTTCCTCTAAAAAACAGAAAACAGTGTTTGAACTTTTCATGTATTCCCCTGAAATGGTTTCTGATTTAACACATTTTGGATTTTCTACTGCTTTCACTAGAAAAACACAGAATATTCCGTCGGCTAGAAAAAAGCTGCTGTTTGAATTAGCACTGACTTAATAAAGTATCATAGTAAACATTAAATAACTCTGTGTTCTTTGTATAGTATATAAAAAACAGAAAGAGAAAGAGGTTGAGAGAAAGGGAAACACACAAAACTGTATAGATAAGGCCATTTCAAAAGAATCTGGATTTTTTTTTGTGATCCTGGGGATTGATCCTAGATCTCAGACACAACAGGCAAACATCTAAACTACACCCCCAACCCTGAAAATGTGTTTAAAGATAGTCTCTCGCTCAAATTATGAAACCCTCTCATTAAAAAGGAGACTTTCTCATCCTACAGTATTTTTTTAATGTCTAAAACCAATCATCAAAGTACATTACATTTCTTCCTGCGGCACTTTTTTTTTTTCTTTAACTGAACAAATTTTATAAGCTACTTGGAAAACGAGAAAAACTTGCCAGTGAGCCCTGGTAAAAGTTGGTATCGCCACCACACACACCATTTCCCCATGAGTCTGCTTTCCAGGTGTGAGCCAGCTCTGCAGTGTGGCAACTGCTCACATTTAGTGAGCCAGGCTCACATCTAGAGCAGTTTTACTTTTATCCTCCAAATCCAGGGGCCTGTTCTTCTTTGATGTCGGTATCAACACTGCAAAGCGCTTGGCACATAATCCAGATCCAGCAACTCAACTTGGAATTCCAGTAGACACACTCTCCCTGGAAATTCTCTCCTTGCTTGACATCCATGAGACTCACTGTCCTAATTCACCCCCTCCTTCACTCTCTCTGCTAGCTCCCTTTCTTAACTTCTAAAACAGGTCAAGGTCAAGAGTCCTGTGTATATTTTCTTCTTTCTCTTATCTCAACTGTTTCATATTTTCCTCTAGTTTCGAATAAAGACCACCTCTGTTCAGAGGCTTCACAAATTTGAACTTTTCCCCCTACCCCAGCCTGCACTCCAGATTCATTTTCCTATTTATGCCACAGTGTTGCAACCAAAGAACCTGAGTGTCCCTTCCCATCCTAAAGTGTCATTCAGCATGTCCATGTGACAAGGGACAGAAGTAGCCAAAAGAAAGAGAAAAGGGTTTGCTATGGAGCCAGAAGGCCTGGGTTCATGTAGAAAATTGCCACCTTCTCAATGGATGCCACTAGGACTGTAATTTCACCTCTTCAAGTCTCAGTCATCCCCTCCACACAATGTGTAAAAACAAGCCAGGCATGGTGGCACACACACCTATAATCCTCACTCTCTGGGAGGTTAAGGCACAAAGATCATAAATTCAATACCAAACCAGGCAATTTAGTGATTTAGCAGAACTCTGCCCCAAAATATAAAAGGGTTGCAGGTGTAGCTCAGTGCAAAAGCCCTGAGTGCAATCCCCAGTACTGGGGGGGAAATGTGCAAAACCAAGCTACCTTGAAAGACCGTTGTAAAGACTAAATGAATCATCATCTATAATGTACATATATGACCTGGGTTATGCCAAAAAAACTAGCAATCGTTCTCTTTCTTAATCTTTCTACAAACCAGTTCTTCCTAACAGTGTCCATTTCTGTTAATGCTGTCTTTGTTTTGAGACTCAAAACCCTGTCGTCAACTCTGACCTGTCCCTCACCCCTTTCAATCAAATCAGTTGCCACATCCTTCCTTTGAATTTTCCCCTCTTATTTTCTTGTTTGTTTTGTTTTTTGTTGTTGTTCATTTCTTGCCACTATACTTGCAGATAAACTCTCAGCAGTCCCATGCACCTACATGTTTGTGCTGAGGAACCACTTTTAAAATGTGGTTGTTATTCCATTTATTCCCATGCTCAGAAACCCCTAATCACTCAGCCAGAGGAACACAGTTCTCTTCCTTCCCTTAACCCCAGACAAAAGGGCTGCTCCTGCTCACACAAGGCACTGTTTTCTTCTCTCGCAAAACACCTCTTCTTCAAGAAACATGTCTCTCTTGTAATAATTTACATCTTACTGTTGACCTCCCTCTCCTACCAGTTCCCAACTTGAAATGGATAAAATTAGGTGTAATGATTTCTCCCCCCACTCCTGAAATGAAGAACTAACAAAACTAGAAAATTTAAACTGGTGGCATACACCTGTAATCTCAGCACTCTGAGACAGGAGGATGGAAAGTTTGAGCACCACGTGACTGAAAATTTAAAAAAATAAAAAATGAGCCTGGGATGTAATTCAGTGTGAAGGCCTCGAGTTTAATCAACATATTGCAAAAACAAACAAAAACAAAACTCAGAAATCTAGTGATCTGGCCAAGATCACATCAGATGAGGCAGAGCCACGGAAAATCCTAGCTCTCCTAACTGGATCTGATAACTTCTCGGCATCAGGAAGCAAGCACACTTAACGATCGTGCTCAAGAGGCAGCCATGACAGAAAGTGGCAGTTAGCTTCAGAAGTTAGACAGAATATTCTCCAAAATAAATCTGTGGCCCTGGGTTAAATATCAGCACCTCATGTTTTATAAAATGACCCTATGTGAGACCTTCCTCCACCCTAAGCCTCTAAACCCTGCTTCAGCTGTGCAGGTGGCTCAGAGCTGTGTTTGCGGTGGAAAATGCTCCTATACTCCCCTACTCTACCAGGTCACTCAACCATTTCAAAGTCACCAGGAGACAAGAAATTGGTGGGAGGGGTGAAGGCAGGGAACATACTCAAACACAGGAAAATTTTGTATTTAATGTGGAGAATGTCTATTTGAACTCAGGTTTATTACCTGGAAATTTTCAAGGCTAGTTTGTTAGTTTGTTTTGCTTTATTTTTCTTACTATAACCAGAAAGGCACTAATTTATTTTATCTCATTTATATACAATCATCAGCCTAAAAAACTCTTTCCTAAGGGTAGAAAATTAAGCAAATATAGGCTCTTATAAAGTTTGTAAAGATTATATGCCACATAGAAAGGGTGACCATAAATATCTAGCAAACCACTAATTCAATCAATAAACACACATACCAATTAGGGAGGTGGAAAACAGTCATAAAGGCTTGGTGGCCAGGGTAACTGCCTCCAGGCTGGTTCAGGCAATGGCTATAGTCTGGTTAAATTCAAATAACATTTACCTTATTTTTAATGACAGGTAATGGTTTTCTTCAAGTCAGTCTCATAGTCTGGCTTCCCACATCTGAGGTAAAAAGGTTTTATGTTAAAACAAAGCTGGCACATATATACCTCCCATGATAGAAAAATATAACAAAAGTTCATATATATAAAAACATAGCAAGAGAATAGGAAGACAAACCATTGGCTGAAAGAAAATATTTACAGCACACATTGTCTCATCCAAAATACAAACACTCTTAAAACTCAACAACAAACAACCCAATCACAAAGTAGGGAAAAGATGAGAACTCATGTCTCATTCAAGGATAGGAAACAAACATGAAAAGATGCTTACCATCACATACCATTAGGATTGCGATGTAATTACAAGATACTACTACCCACCTATTCGAATGGCCCAAATATATATCACATATATGAAAAAAGCAAATATGAAAAGTCTATATACTACATAGTTCTAACATGACATTCTGAAAAAGAAAAAACTATGCAGACTTGTTCTCAATTATGCTGTGGACCTAAAACTGCTCTTAAAATAAAATCCATTTTTATAAACCTATACATAGTATGTATATATTTATAATCATTTCATAGTTTAGAAGCCTATATCTTTTCCCATACATCACTGTAAAAAAAATGGTAGTGTTATTATATGAGGAATGCACCAAAATGACTTTTTTTTTTTTTGAGACAGGGTCTCACTATGTAGCTCAGGCTGACCTCAAACTTGAAGTGATCTTCCTGCCTCAGTTTCCAAAGTGCTGGGATTACAGGTGTGTAATATCACACAAGCCAGGCACAGTAGCCTACTCCTGTAATCCTAGGTACTCAATAGCCTAAGGCAGAAAAACTGCAAGTTCAACTCCAGCCTCTACAATTTTGCAAGAACTTGTTTCAAATTTAAAAAGAACTAAAGATGTAATTGAGTGTAGTGCTCCCTTGGGTTTGATCTCCAGTGCCACAAAACTTCTGGGTGTGGGGGGTTGGGGTAGGGACAGAGTTCAATATCAGAGCTCTTGCCTATTATGCAGAAGACCTAGGATTCAATTCCTGATGCTGCACAAATCACATAACTATATTTTTATCTAATATACATTAGACATTCTTTCAATAATATTTATTGAACACTTATTACATGCTACCTGTTAGAGCTTGTGTTTTGATGTTCCTCCAAAGGCTCATGCAGTTATAGGTGGAACTTTTACAGAGGTGGCTGGATCTAGAGTGTGTGTGACTAGGATAGATTCAACCAGGCTCAAGGGCACTAGAATTAGGGTGCCAAGATCATTTGAGGAAAACTGCAAGTCAGGAGCAGAGCTGGCCCAAGAGAGAACCATAAGAGTTGCAATCACTGACTGTACAGTAGGGACAGAGTCACCCAAACCTTTTGAGTTTACAACTTGCCATGGATTGCTGGGGATGGTGGAAGTGGAGCTGAGGGATTTAATGTATGCCCTACTGGATTTTGGTCTTGCTTCATTCCCATTCCTTTTATTCTCATTTATAACTTTTGGAATAGAAATGTCTAGCTTGTACCATTGAATGTTGGAAGTGTTTAACTTTATTTTCATTTGTACAGGGGCTTACAGCTAAGAGCTTGCCTTAAATCTCAGAGGAGACTTTGGACTTGGACTATTTAGCAATGTTAAAACTGTCAGGACTTTGGAAACTCTTACAGATAGACTAAATGCTTTTTTGCATAAAGAGCTATGAAAGAATCTTTGGGGGCCAGGGGTGGAATGCTATGGCTTGTGTCTAGATGTCCCCCTATGTAGTCATATGTAGACCCTTTTCAGAGGTGGCCAGATACAAAGTGTGCAGTGCTGGAATTGACTCATGCTGTAATCAAGGATGAAGGTCACTGGGATTAAGGGTGTGAGTCCTATCTGTCCTAAGTAGCCTGGATAAGATATATAGAGGAGTGTTGCTACCTTCAACTCCATGAATGGTTTCTCCTCTACAATGCCTTCTGCCATACTACCTTACCCTGGAACTAGTGGATTATGGACTGAAGCCTTTACAAACTGTAAACTAAATAAATCCTTTCCCCTTTAACTTTGAATGTCAAGCATTTTGTCAAAATGTAACAAAAGAACAAAAGTACCAAAATAAAAGTAACTAAGACACAACTCATCATTTTAGATTCTGTGTTGTAGAGATACATTCTAACAGATTTGTTTTTTAAAGTCCAGCTTTCTAAACCACCTTCTATTCCCAGAAAAACTGTCAATACCTGGCAAGGGTTTACCAAAAAATTAGAGGAAAAATGTGATTCTTTGATATTCACAAAGATTTCCAAGTATAGGAAAAACAATCAACAATTGAAAAAATGTCTTCTTCCCATAATGCTCCGTGCTTAAACTTCATCAAGCATCAAACAGCAATGTGCTAAGCACGTAATACGCATGACACTGGAACACCACGACCAAAATAATCTATTTCTTTGTAAATAAACCCCAGAAAAAAAAATAGTTCCTGTTTTGTAATTTATGGTAAGATTCATAAAGCTCCTAGGCAATATATTCCTAAAATGCTGAGTAAAAGATGACTATTTTTCCTTATTATACATAGCAACAGGACTAACACTTGAGCCTGTACAGGAAGCGGACATGTACAGTATTGCATGTGCTGCCTCCCAGTACACCTGGTCAGAACACTGTGGGTGCACAGAACATGACTTGCCACCCAGAAGTAACAATCCCACAAACTGTCCTAGTCTCCTTTAAAATGATGAATATAGAGCTAAGGATGTAGCCCACTTCCCCGGTTCAATTCCCAGTACCAGAAAAACAACAACAATAGACTAATTTGTAATCTGCTTAAAACAATTCTGGGCACACTGCATCTATAACAGGGCTCTCAAAGTTGGCTGCCCTGTGTTCACAGGAAAGGAAGGTTTAATGAGCCTCAAGAGAGAGGTTCAGCCTCATGGTTTCCTTCATCCAAAGAGAAGAGGCTGCTGATTGTTTTTTTTTTTTTTTTTACCCATCAATACATTACTTAATAAAGCCTGCATCTATATTCCACACTAACCTGACACTGCTTCAGTGGTGCATCAGAGGCAAAAATGAAATTATCTTCCTCCCTCACCTCTCCCTTTGTTTGTTTGTTCATCCTCTATACCTACAGTCAGGGAATCCCCCTGATTTTCTCAGATGTACAGAAAAAAAAAAATCTTCTCCTCGAAGCTTTGGCAAAAGATGGGCATGATAACTTGGGGGAAAGTACTAAAGCAACAGCCCCACCTGTGCAACCTAAAATCATTAAATATTGTCTCCATTTGGTGCTGGTGTCAGTCAAACACATAAAACTCACTGTATAGATCTACTCTGGCATACTTCCACAGAATGCTTAGTTCTTTTGGCAGTCACATGAGAAAGGAGAAAATGAACCCCAAAAGTCATTATCCTCTCTGCTGATCCCTCTTCTGCAAATGAAAGTAGTGTTTCATACCTATACTTCTCATTTTATTCATGACCAGCTCACCAATGACAGTTTCTAAAAGCCCATCACATTCCATGTTATGTTCTGGACGTATGGTCCCTGTCCTACACAAGAGTTCACTCCAGTCTGTCGGTAAGAAGACGCTGCCCCCAGGGTGATTTCTGGCAACAGCAAGAGATTAGAGCAAAGAGCAAAGGTGGCCTGGTGTGGTCAAGAAATGCTCCCCAGAAAAGGTAATACTGCTGGAGAAAGGAACATAATACAACACAAATAGGCTACAGGGGAAAAACAGAACAGAATTCCAGGCACACTGTTCTGTGTCCAAAGGTCTCATTAGGAATTCTGAGCCTGGCTTTTCTTAACTGATGGCCATGAGAGTTTAAAAGGGCATAAAGAAAGATAACAAATTTTTTAAAAAACATTGCTTCTCAAACTGTGATCCACTAGATACTTTTAGAAGCCCATGGATGATCTGGTAGAAAACCTGAAAAGTGGAGGATTTCAAAGAAAGAATAGAGAGATCTGGCAGCACCCACCCACACACCACCACCACCACCACCACCACCACCACCACCACCACGTGGAAATCAAATTCTGAACAGTGCTGACAGTTAACAATCCTGAATTCCAATCTCCCTGCAGTTCAGAATCTGGGACTACAGGCAAGTTTCTTAACTTTTCTCTGAGCCATAATTTTTTTCCTCATCATTCAAATGGAAATAATGTCAGTCATCAGATGAAATGAGACAATGTAAGTAAACTATCTATTTAATAGCTTCCATATAGATGTTCAAAAAATGGTGACTGATGTAATCACGTGAAAAGAGAGAAAGAAAGATTGCATATTTAGATATAAGAGACTAACAAACTGCGGGGACTCCAGGAGAAGAAAGTTAAGGATCTGTCTTGCATGTCTGGTTGCTATATTTTAACTCTGGTAAATCACTGAGGTTGTTAAAATGGAAGAGACCTGGTGAATACCTACCTAGCTTAGTTGCAAATATCAGGAGAATCTTTGTACTCCTGCTTTCAAAGGGGCATAGTAACAACCAAAGGAAAGATATCTTCTTCAGTCTAGGAGAAAGATGAAAAATCATTTTTTATTCACTTGGATTCCACTGCATATGCTGTCCATAGCGTCTGCAGCGTAGGGCTGGCAAAGAAGCTCTTCAACAAGCTTTTCCAAAGAAGACACGAAAATAATTCAGATGTGTTATATACATGTATCAACTCTCCACTATGAATGTACTCCTTATGTGCCGCAAACATATACTAACAAAAATTTTAAAACTTAGAAGCACTTCTTAAATGTCTTTGTACTAGACACTCTCAGGGATCCTTTTGGGGTCTTCTACTCACTAAGCAAAAGGAAAAGCTTCAGTCTGTCATGTATAGGAGACTTTATTTCACAACTGCAATGAATCTACAAAGGTCTAATAGAAAAACTTTATCCCTTTTCTCCAGAAGGCTAAGATGTATGCATGTTATCACCCATGCCCTAGCTTATCCACTTTTTCAAACAAAAACAGCCTCTGTGTACTTGCTAGGTACACAAAGTGCCAAGTATATAATCACTGACCTTGAAGGGTTTACAGTTTAAAGCAACAAAAAGATGAATATCACAGAGAGACTAAAACAAATGCCACAAAGTAATACAAAGTACCATGAGAATAAAACTAACCTGGACTTCCATAGAGCTGGGCTAGGATTTAGATAAAAGTCACCAGGGGCAATGCAGAGATGTCCCAGAGACATTCAGCACAGCTCCACCTGACTCACATGGTTCTGAGAATGCCTGTTACATTTGGAAATGGGAAGCCTGCTTGCTTCCCATTAAGATAGATAATTTAACACGGCCTCCGTTCAAAGGAGAATAGAGATAGGCAGATACTGGAATTGTGAAGGGTTTTGAAGTCAAAGGAAAGAGTTGGCTTTGTTGATTACATGACCACTATGCAACCTGTGGTATTCAGACACCTGTAAAGAAGAAAAGAACCCGGACTGTTGGGAGCCATTGAACACACGTGCATGGTTGCAGCATGGCCAGCCATGGCCAACCTCAAGAACAAAGAGACACCACAAAGGGCAAGATAAGACTACAGATGCCGACCCCTGGTTCCAACCCCAATTAACAATATAGAGCCACAGGCACCTCATTCCTGCTATTTCCCACCACAAATGTTGTCATGGAGATATGACACTTCTTTTAAATTAGCATTGAATACCATTTGGAGAAATCATTGCAGGGACTCTCCAAGTCCTTCTTGACCAAGCTCTTTCCTCAGTATCCCATCTCCTTTTTTTTGAAGCCCTAATAAATATGGGCCATCCAGAGCAGCTCTTTGTCTCAGACCCCAGAGTCTCAAACTCTGCTGGAGGGTTTTAACTCTCCTGGAACTCTAAAATCATACCACTTGTCTCATCTTGGCCAGGTCCTCAATACAGGACCTTATCAGATTAAAAAAAAAAAAAACCCTCATATGGCATTGGCATAGGTTCAGGTTTGACGTCCCCTGCTCCCTTGGCACAGGAGATTAAATCCAGGGTCTTCACACTGAACTACATCCTCAGCCAGACTTTCAAATGTACTTTACATTATGAGAGAGGGTCTCACTAACCTGCCCAGACTGGGCTCAAATGTACTTCAGCCTCCAAAAGCACTGCGATTATGGGAATGTGCCACCATATCCAGGTCTCTTAATGGCCCTAAAGCTTTTTGTTCTTTTTCTACATGGACATACAAGTTCTTTTCTTGCCTTAATTTATCTTTTGTGTGTGTGTGTGCTGGGGATCAAACCCTGGGCCTTCTGCATGTAAGGCATGAGCACTACCACTGAGCCACATCCCTAGCCCCTATTTATCATCTTTGTAATCAGTCTTTGCCCTTTCTGTTTCCCTTCCCTGAATCACAGAAATTAGGCAAACATGGAGATTTTGAGGAAATGTAAAGGGCATGGGGTAGGGGGAGGAACCTGGATCCAAATCCGTTAGCCTTAGTCATTCAGCCTTCAGTGAGGTCATCTTTCTTCACTTCAACCCAGTTCTCCCCACTGGGTTTCCTGATTTGTACCCACTTACCACTTAATCTTGGTAGCTTTTGAAGGCCATTTATGTTTTCATTTGCATTACATACAGAATAGCCTGTTTCCAATTGTGACCTTGGTGCCACGCAGTCCCATTTTACCTTCTCTAGGATCAGACTTAACTTCTGGTGTCAAACATACCAAGAAAGAACAAATGAATGAGGGAACAAATGAATGAAAGAAGGAAGAAAGGAAAGAAAGAGAAGAAAGACAAGAACAAAGAAAAAGAGGAGAGAGAGAGGGAAAGACAAAAAATTCCACCTCCAACACAGTCGGCCAATATGGTCCAAGCGAGCCGACATACACAGGGCCCCTTCCCTCTCTTCACCGTCCTCACACCCTCTGCCTGGACAACTCCGTTCTTACTTCAGATCTGATGGCAAATGTCCTGTTTCTCCCTACATCATCCAGTCAAAATCTCCTCTCCTCCCCTCTCCTCCTCTGCCCCCACTCCCCTCTCTTCTCCATTCCTATTAGGAGGTTTGGATACTTCTGCCTCCTCGTTCAAGTGACATTTTAAAAGGTTTCTTTGCCTCCTAAAATATATTTCACATTGAATAACAGCCGTATGTTGTATTAAGGGAAGGAAAACACTGGGAGGCAAGCAGGAGCACAGAAGGCAGATGCACAGGCTCCCGAGGCCAGGTGAGTTGTTACCACACCCACCTTTCCTGTGCTCAAGGCTTCTCTCTCATCCTTCACACCTCTTAAAGATCATTAACTCGCTTGCCATTATCCAGCGCACTCAGTTTCATGGAAGAAAGGTCACACAGCCATAGGAAATGTGGAGGCCTCTAGTCATCCCACAGGAGAGGAATAAGGCCTTTACCGGGGGCGGATATATCACCAAATTGAAGCCAGTCTAGAGCTCGCCTAGAGGAGTGGTGGGTTCACTATGCGTGGCGGGCACCTAAGAAGACAGAAACTGTGGAAAGTCTCAGACTAAGCATTTATCCAGCTCTCAAGGCCTGACCATTATGAATACTGGCCATAAACTATATCCTGCACCCGTTTCATTGGAGCCCCTCAGTCTCTCATTCGCCCTCGTCTCCCTCTGCGCCTCACCTGTACCTCCCTCAGGACCTCAAGCTCAGCAAGCCTTCTAGGTGCAAGCGTTAGCACTGCCCGCCAGGCTGCTACTGGCTGGGGTGTACGTCTGGGCTGTGCGCCCTCCAGAAGTAGCCTGCGACCCTTCTTGGTTTGCGTGCTGCTTCCACCCCGCCTCCCGTGCTTATTGTACCAGTTGCCCCGTCTGATCGAAGCCTCAAACGGGCAAAATGGAAGGGAGAAGAAAAAAAGAAACGCATTTCACAAGGACCTAAGATAACCCGCTGCCCCTCTGGTAGTCCCCACGCCCACTTCTTGTCCCCAGTGGAGCTAGCGGCGCGGGTAGAGAAGAAAAGGGGAGCGCAGTGCGCCAGGTCCACAGCGGCACACAAAGCCCTTCACCTTCTCGCCTCGCAAGCTCCTCCCCAGCTTGGTTTGGCCGAGGGTTTCCGATGCCCTCTTCGGTGGGCGGTGGGACGATCCGCTCCCTCCAGCAACGCCGTCTCCTCCCTCAAATCTGCACCTCCTCCTCCTTTCCGCCCCTTGCCAAGGAACCCTGAGGGACCTCAGATCTCACCCTAGGAGCGCGAGAGCACCTCAAACGCCCAGGGACCCTGAACCCGCAGGGTGGCAGACAACGGTGCAGTCTACGCCGCGCCAAGGCAACCCAGCGGTGCAGCCAGCACTCTCGGGCACACACCGCGTCCCTGCAGTGGCCAGGTCAGCTCCCTCGCAGCCCCAGCCCTCGGCGGTGGACGAGCCCAGCCACAGCCGCGCTCCTACCTGCGGTGAGGCAGGCGCGGGAGCAGTCAGGGCACCGCGCGCCCTGGCCCGGGCCCCGCACCGCGGCGCGTCTGCCCTTGTGCTGCGGTGGCGGCGCTGCAGCTGCCGCTGGCTGCCTGGCTCGCTGGCAGACGCGCTGGCCGACTGGCTGGCTGCCCGCTGACTCCTCACTGGGGCTTCCTGTAGGGCTGGACAAAGGACATTTCCTGGGAGGAGCAGGGAAATGTTCCCAGCATGCCTCTATTTGTAGTTCGCGGGGACTTCCTGCCACCACAGCAGTAGCCGCGGCCAGGCTAGGACACGGGTACTGGGGCAGCAGCGTCCGCTCCCTACCTAAGCGCGGAGTGGAAGGAACGGACGGTGCACAGTGCCTGGTCCGCCCTGCGCCAAGGGGCCGGAGCCGCCGCCTGCAGGAGCATAGCGTGCGCGCCCAGCTCCTGGCTCTGCGCGAAGTCCAGGTTGGACCCCCATGAACTGTCGTTTTTGAGGGCTCTCTGGAAGGAACGGTCTTTCCTTTGGAAATGGTTTGTGGTGGGTTCCCTTTGAACTGACCTTTTTTTTTAAAGCAGTTTTTTGTTTTTGTTTGTTTGGTTTTGGTACACTGTGGGAATGCTGGTGGGCTCAGATTAAAACCTGACTCCTCACCAAAAGTGGAGGTTCCTTAAAATCTTGGCGTTTTTGTCCTTACACTCACACTGATTGTTTCCAGATCTTGACCTAGTGACATTCCTCGGTATGAGGCTTGCCTTGGCCCAGCCAAATAAAAGCAATTGAAGAAAATGCATTGCATGAATTAAACATTAGACATGTAAAATAGACCTGGACTTTGCTCATCTTACTCTCATTCAACTTTAGGATTCAGCTCCCCTGGGTCCCGTGGGGCAGAGGAAATGGCCACCCTATATTTAGTGAGTGTCTTAGGAGGTGAGGAGTGAAGAAGCAGGACACTGGCTGCAGGAGAACACTTGCAGCCCAACAAGGCTTTGTAACATCCTCCCCAGGTTCTTGTCCTTTTCTGAAACTCAGAACCCTTGTGGGAAAACTAAGGAAGGGCTACATAGAGACAAAATGACTAAAAGCTGTAAGTGTCTCAAGGAAAACGAGCAGAATGTAGTGTAGCCCAAATGAGAAAAGGTGACTTCTAGGGTGCTGTGAATGTGTTTGAAAAATGAACAGAAAGTCACAATCAACTGTCATTTTCACTTGACATCTCACATTTTGTATGTTCCTGCATGAGGACATTTAGGTGAGGGTCTTAGTTTACATTTAAGAAAGGGTGATCCACCAGACATGGTGGCACTTGCCTATAACCCCAGCACAGGGGAGGTTGAGACAGGAGGATCAAGAGTTCATGGTCAACCTGGGCTACATGATGAGTGCAAAGCCAACCTGTACCGTATAGTGAGACCCTGCTAAAAACAGTATTTACTACGGAGAATGGTGTAATACAGTGATGTCAAACCTTGTAGAGCTTCAACAACACAAACCGCCCACTGTGGTACATATGATATAGGTTCACCACCACTGGCGTAGTAGTTCTCCTTGTGTAGTGATCTTAACTACATACCAGGTGGTTTAGTTTAATATGTAGAATGAGTGAGAAGGGTGCAGATAAGATTGTATATCTCCCAGAAGTTCCTACCACTCTTGACAGTCCATGTAAATCAATTACGTTGTGATTCCTGCATTTTCTGGAGCCTACCAATTACTACTTCTTCCGTTTGCAGCCTGCCAACATTCCAGTGAAACTCCCCAATTTTCCTAAGAAAGAGTTTATAATTATTTGTCAAATCAAGTGGCCTCATAGTGTTCAGATGTTAGCCTTGCCTGTCGCATTTAACATTATCTACTGTGTCCCACCTTGTTGAAGCTATTTTCAGCCTAGCTTCTCATTCTAAACACCCTTCTTCTTGCGTCCTACACTTCTATTTTCTTTTTAAGATACAAAGTTTCCAACTCATTATCCTCACCCTATGCCAAACCTGTCCAGGCTCTTTTGTTTCCAGTCTCAGTTTATTCTTATTCATTTATCATTTCAACAAAGACTTACATAACCCATTAAATTCAGCAGTAGGATATCACTGACTACAAGCTATGCCTGACCCTCCAGGAGCTCACACCCCAGTTAAAAAGATAAACAATCATTACACAGAAATGAGCTAATACAGGTTTATACACAAGTTGACAAGCTTCGTTCCCTGAGAAGCAGGATTGGCTCCCAAGTAATAGTAATGGGAATAGGGAGGAGAGAACGGAGACAGTAAAGAAGCACACTTACTGTGTGAAGTTTGGTTTTGGAGGGATGATACTGGGAAGGAAGTGTGATCAAAGGAAGGTTTTCTGTTTGTGGTGATTTTGTTTGGCTTTTAAGAAGAGATCCTTGGGAATGGTCACATTCTAAAGGAAAAGTTCTGGGAGCCTGGTAGGTGGTAAAGTCAGAGGAGAGAAAAGCAATTAGCACTCAACAAATATTTGTTGAATTACCAAATTCCTGCAACTTAGAATTGCCAGGCATTGCTAAGATTGAAATGTATAAACTGCACCTTCCCACTTAAAATGTGCAGAGCCTGAGACCACACAGGAAAGGCGCTCCTTTCTCCCTTGTCAGTTGACCTTCCCTGTCCCTCAGGTCCTCAGGAAAAGCTAACACACAAGTAAGTGAATAGATTGGAAAGTACACAGCAACTTTAGAAGAGTACACTTTTAACCCTGCAGATTTTGAGTTTATTTTTAAATTAAACATTTTACCCTTGGCTTTTTTCCATCTTTTGTTTTTTTCTTCATCTTTTAGAGGTAGAAGAGATAACTGTTCTCATCATTACCTTTCAAAAGGGGGGACAATTTGCCAACAATTTTTTTAGGTAAAAAGTTCTGGATTTAGTTTGTAGTATTATTATTGTTGTAGGTGGACAGGAAGTATGATATATTGATAGGTGTTATGACAGAGACAGTAGCATGGTGGAAATCCTCCCAAGTACAAAGTCTTATCCTGGGTATCACAATTTGGGATGTATTTGACCTTGTAATTGTCAGGGACATACTGATTTTCTTCCAGTTATCCACATTAAATCTGATAAATCCCCACCTCTTTGAATGGAAATATTTTGGTGGCCAGAGAACCTAAACTTTCCTGCTTAGGACCAAAACCACTTGCTTTCCAAAGGCCACCCACAAATCTGTCAGGAGCCTAGATTGAGGACAACCCAAAATACACATCTACTTTAAAGAGCTGTCTCAAGTGCTCATAGGATCTTAGGACAGCCCATATTAGCAGTGACCTATGCACACTACTGAAGAGCCCGCTGTTTACAGCCATTGCACACCAGGCACACATGAGTAAAGGAATCCAGTTATTGGCATTTTTTTAAATTTTTAAAGTATAAAGGAGATACATGTTATTTTTCTTAACCCTGTGAGCATCCATCGACCCTTTTCTTTTGGTAACAGCACCTTTGAAAAGTAACTCCCTTTTCACTCTTTCTGTTCTTGTGGTTTAGAGAAGGGCAAAGTCTCACCTCCACGTCCAGTTAGGTGGTAGGCATGTGATAAAGACCTGTCAAGCCAATTCCAGTGCTGTAGGAGGGGTAAAATGTTAAAGGAACAAAAGCCAGGAAAGGTTTTGCATGTGTGTGTGCGCGCGCACACGCACCAGACAGAGATACAGAGAAAGAATAGAGACACAAGCAAATCTTTCTGACATTGTTTGATCATACTTAAGCCAAGATACCCCTAGATCTTATGTTTACCAAAACAAAACCTTTCATTTAAACCAAAATAAGTAATGGAATAATACATAGCTACAAAAAATGGCAAATTTGAGACATCTGTACGAAAATGGATGCACCGGGAAAGTATAATGTTGAGTGAAATAAACCAGACACACAAACTTAAATACCATATGGTCAAGAATGGCCTGAACTACATAAAAAGACCCTGTTTATTTTTTTTAAAAAATACTGTACATACCCTTTATTTGAATGAGGCAAAAGTACAAACAAAAAAGTGATAAACAATGGATAGAAAAGGACAAGGGAATGGATCTGTTGTAATAGGAAAGTAGTCCAAGGGAATGAAGGTGAGAGATGAAGAGGAGGGGAAAGGAAATAAGAAAAATAAAGGTGTGCTATGTACAGGACCCTAATAATCCCAATTAATGTAAACACTATATACCATAGCATTAGCTAAGAGAAATAATATCAGCAAGAATGAAAACTGAGATAGGGGAACTGGAGGGAGAAATATGGTGTCACATGTATATGTAATCATTCCCCAAGATGATTGTAAACTACATGAACTGCAAACATGTACAAATAAAATTTTTGATTTTTTTAAATTTCTCTTTAAGGCTCAAGCTATTTTGAGTTAAGCTAAAAGGGTTCTGTAGAGTGTACATGGGATGATGCAGCATAGCAACTGACTGGGTTGAGGAAGAGTGAGGACAGGAAGACTTCCCTGTTTCAGGCGAGGGAGCTGAAATTCTTTGTGATTTGGTAGCCACAAAACTGAAGGAAAGGCCTCAGGTCCTACCATTTCAGAAGTGGGGTTTGGATTAACAAATTTCAGGATTTTTTAGAGGGTTTGGAGTACTAGAAACCTGGCCAAGATCCCCAATCGCCCAAATGAGTGTATTGCAAAGGCTTAAATAAATAAAACAAGTGATATGACTTTAGGGCCCCAGGAGGATTAAAACCCTCTAGCAGACTTCAAGACTGGGGGCTGAGACAAAGAGCTTCTCTGGGTGGCCCACATTTATTAGGTCTTTTAAAAAAGGACATAAGATACTAAGGAAAGGGCGGGGTCTGAGCAGGACCTAAGAGTCACCTCAACAACTTCCCCAAATGATATTTTGTGCTAATTTAAAAGAACGATGTTATCTCTATGATAACACTTGTTGTAGGAAATATACAGCAGAAGTGAGATGCCTGTGGCTTCGGTCTCTATCCTGACAGCTGGAGTTGGGGCCAGATGTCCTCAGCTGTGGCCTAATCTTGCCCCTTGAGGTGTCTCTTTGTTCTCGGCTTGGCCATGCCTGGCCCTTCTGCACCCCTGCACATGACTTCAGTTCCCGGCTTCAATGGCTCCCAACACTGGAGGTTATTTAAAGTTTTATAAAAGATGTACAGAAAGAG